ATATAGTGTAAATATAACTTTTATATGCACTAGGAAACCAAAAAATTCATGTGGCTTACTTTATTGTGATATTTGCTTTATTTCAGTGGTCTGCAATATCTCTGAGGTATACCTGTAATGCAGGATTTAGATTTTCATATCTTAGTTTGCAAATCACAGTTCATATGGAATAAGTAAATATTAGAACTGTCAAGTTCTCTGGAAGACTAATTGACAAAGTTTGGTCATTAAAAGGAAAATTAAGCTAGATCTAGAATCAATGTGTGAGTCTGAGACTCATGCAATTTAGATACTTTTCAAGAAACCTGTTACCTAACATTATTTTAACAATACCCTAACAGTAAGATAACTAAAACAAGATCTTAAAACATAGTTCTTATATCATAGTACAGGGAAGTGGGACCCCTGCATCACACAACTCCAGGGGACATTCATTATTTATATGGTACCTTTTGGTGAACAGTAACCATTGCAGTGCAGAGAACCCCCTTACTTACTGGTTAAAATAATGAATAAAATGCTGAAGGATTTGAGCAATCACTGTGATTACTAGAAATTGTGATCCACTTGATAGGAGTAGAGTTTCAACTCAACATTTGTTGAGGTCCTGCCACGTGAAAAGTACTAAAGTAAGGCACTTGGGAGATGAGGATAGAAAAATTAAGTAACCACGATTCTCATCTACAAAAAAAAAATTAGAAAATGGGGAGACAGACATATACAGTGAAGGAAAATACCAGGTAAACTCTGTGAGCATAGGCTTCTTGGAGGCAGTGGCAGTTATGACAAACCTTGAAGGACATTGAGGACTTTACAGAGGTTGAAGACAGGGCTGAAGGACTGTATAAGTAGGTTCGAGCCAATGAAGTAGCTAGAATAACATGCTATAGTGAGTTTGTGGCTCATGGGGAATCATCCCAGGGTTTTGAGGAGGAGTGGTATTAGATGGTCTGAAACAACTGAGGACAGAATTGCTATCCTTTGCTTGTGTTCTTGGAACATTCTGTTCATACCACTGTTACTGTACCCATTATAGTATATTCTAATTATTTGTTTTCAAATTGGTCTCCCTGGTGAGCTGGGAAATTTTTGAGCATTCTTAATCTTCTCAGGATCCCCAGAGCCTAGCACATGACTGGAACATAGAAGACAATAAAGGCTTGTTTTTGAATTAAGAATGGTTCAGAGAGTTGCTAGATTGGAGGTGGGAAGACCAAGTAGGATGTCTTACAACAAACAGTGCATGAGATGGACGATGAGGCTCTGAAACAAGACAAAGTCATGGGAAGAAAGGGGTAGATGTGAAAGACACGTTAGAGGTAAAATGAACAGACTTGAGGGGGGAGATTTTAAAAAAGGGTGAATCAAATATGACTATGATCTAATTAACATGTTTTTAAGTGAATGAATTTAAATATAAATGGATTTTAAACTTGCTACTTTTAAAACATTTGGTCTTTCTATTGAAAGATACTTTCTAAATACATCCTTCATAGTATATTTAACCCATTCTTTTTAGTAAATGAATTTATGATTAAATAGATAGGTCTTAAAACAGGTTCTGATTTGCTGTACGCAGACTTAGGGATGAAGCAAATCACAGTCTTTGATAATAAGTAGAAACTGACAAACGAATGCCTCAGGAAGGAGTGAAAGTGCTCAAGAAATGCCATAAAAGAATAGCTCCTCCACACAAGGAGTGAGAGTTTCACTTGTGTGCAAAGTAAGAAGGGGGGAAAATCCGATCCTCCGGTTTAGTACAAGGTGGAAAGAATGAAAATGTTTCATTATTAACCAGTGATGCTGAATTCTCTTAACTAACCACTTCACTCTTTTTCTCCAGAGAAAATTTGCTAATTTTATTTCACTAATGGTTGTATTCTATTCTAGGAAGTTTTAGTTTAATAATGCTGGAATTTTTTTTTAAGAACTCCTGTTCTCACTACTTCATACTGCAAAACTGATTTCTCTTCAGAATTTTGCCGGAAATATCCTAAAAACCCAACTTCCCACTGTGAGCCATTTACCATTTCCATTTCCTATGTGGTAGAAGGTTGTAATTACCCTATGAGAATTGCTCAAGGGTCAAGACTATAGAGTAGCATTTAATATGCATGTTTTGGGGAAAATGGAACAATATTTTATAAAGAAGATTATTCCCGAGCTGGAAATTAAATTAAAAAGCAATCTAAATGATGAAGTCAATGCAGCCCTGGAGGCTATGGGACTGACCATGAGAGTTTATTGAATCCTGGAGATTCTTCTTCACCCTGGGAAGCTTCATCTGGTTTCTGAACTATAAGATGCATTTTTTTAAAAAAAACACATTTACCTCTTTTATGGTCATTTAAAGAAACACACACACACACACACACACACACACACACACACACACACACACACAACATAGAGTCTGTCACATCCAACTTAGCACTATTCTTTAATACCAGCACTAGGAGTGCCTCCATGCAAGAGAAAAAGAAATCATAGTAGAAGAATGGAAAGAAGTAATCAGGAAGGGAGAGGAGAAGGAGTCTGCCAGTTTCCTGAAAGTCAAGACTCAGTCATGGAGTCACTGTGGAAAACAGAAACCACTCTACATATTTCAAACGGAAAATGATTTAATACAGGGAATTATGTATACGCGAAATGACTGGAAGGTCTGTGTGTGGGAACTGGAGCCAGCTTCGGATGAGTGAGTTCAAAGACACGCCAATGTAGATGGGATCCAGAGGTTCAGAAATTACTGCTGCTGCCATTGAGCTTTTAGTGCACAGCCACAGCCACCTCTCAACTTCCACAAAGCTAGTAACTAGGTAATGGGGTGTTTTTTCCTGTCCCCCTCCTTGACTTTGCTTACTAGCAGAAACAGTAGTGGGGAAGATGGTCTCTTCTCCTTTGTTCTAAATTTCATGGGAACGCATCTCTCTTTGGTACAGCTCAGTTTACATATAGCATGGCTCTCAAAGTGTAGTTCTCTAGACCAGCAACATTAACATCACCTGGAAACTTGGTAGAAATACAAATTCTCAGGCCGCAACTAGAAACTTTGGGGTTTGGTCTAGCAAGGTGTTTTTTTAGAAGCCCTCCAGGTGATCCTGTAGCATGCTTAAGTTTGAGAAACCATTGGCCTAGAAGAATCCCAGCCTCCACAAGGGAGTCTGGAAAAATAACAGTTTTATTTCTAATTCTGTGGAACAAGAAGACATCACAGGGTTAGGAATGGATACCAAGTGCCAATGACCACATCTAGCAAAAAAGTATGCCCAGTGGTGTCAAATGCTTCAGTAACAGGTGGAGTATGGTGACAAATGAGAAGAACTGTTGAATCTGATATGAGATCGTTGGTGACTTTAGAGAGAAGTGTTTCCGTGGTGAGGCATAAGGGATGAGAGATGGAACGATATAAAAATTGAATTATGATGGATGAAGAATAAGCACAGAAGGTTCTTATCGTTGTTGTGTCTGGGCAATGAAATGGAGAAATGGGTGTTAGCTTGAGCTCAAATCTTTCACTTCATTTCTATGACCTTGTCTGTGCCCTCTGCCTCCCTGCTCCATTTCAGACAGTTTAGTCAGTTCTGCAGCTAATTAAGGAAGTTTGTGGAGCTCTTTTTGTATGGCTTAATTTCCAGTTCTAAGGGAGCACAAACTTCAATTTAGTGTGTACTTATGTTTTAATATGTGCCAGATGCTATGATAGGCCCTTGATATATGTTATTTTTATTTCTTACAACCAGAATGTAAGGTGGGTAAGAAAATTTAACTGATTTGCCTTGGCCATAGTCTGTCTTACTCCTCCAAATTTTGAGGTCTTTTCACTCTTTTGTATTTTCTTTCTCTATAAATTGTCTGGCTTCACTAAAGTGTGTTTTTTTCAGTGGCAACATAGTTTTTAAAATACATAAAAGTATGTTTTGAGAACATATAAAATTCATTTCATTGTTTGAATTTCACAGACTTTTTTTTAGGACATAGGGGAAAAAGCACCTTAAATACATACCGGACAAAAATGTAGTTTAAAATGCTTGGGCTTCATACCTCCTTTGCTGCTGAGAATTACAGCATTTCTAATTAATGTAATTATTTTTTCAATAACAAAATATTCCTAATCTTTTTTCTGGTTATAAAGCTAACAATCTTTTACAGTGTCAAATCAGATGTGTCTTTTTCCCCCTTGTTCTTTTACTAGTTTATCAGGATCATACAGAGCCTATTAAGAAATTTGAACAAATTAGATTAAAAGTTAATTGACCCTTTAATGTTTGCAGTGCCTCAGTTTTCTTCAACTAGTGAACATTCTTCCCTTATCAGATCAAAGAGCAGAGTTTTTTTAGGTGCTACCCAAAGATGAACAAATCAGCTCACAGCAGCTGTACCTCTTGTAGCCCCAATCATTTTTGGTCTCTTCCTCCAATGGCAGCCTATGGTATCTCTCTTGTGTCACTTCCCCTCTCTCACAAGCCATCACTCTTACTTCTCTTTATAGCTCTGTGATCTCTTCTTTCCTTTATTTGTCTTAAATTTATTTATTTGTTTGTTTGTTTGTTTATCTATTTATGCTTGGCTCTTTTTCCTGACTTCCATCTCCACTCACTTCTCTGATCAGCACAAGTAAGGGCAGAAACCAAGTAGAGTAAACATAGACTGTTCTTTAGAAGAGAGGCCTATGAACACACTCTCTTTAACAATCCATCATAAAATGAAACCAAAGTACCAAGGATTTCTTTTTTGCTACGAATTTTAAAATGTATTATTTGAATAACTTAGTACAAGATCTGAACAACTTCAGTGCTGATGAGAATAAAATCACTTATTCCAAAACCTATGTGTCAATTCGGTATGATTTTTAAAATGTATTTAACATTGGAATCTATTAGATTTGAAAATCTTTATTGTAAATAATGTATAACTTAAATACCCATTATGATTTAAAATGATGATTTCCTAAAACCAAAATTATAAATGATTTTAAAATAACACTTTCCCTTTCTCATTAGCTAAGAAATCTTCAAAACAAACTTTTCTTAAAAGAAACTTCATTACAAGAGATGAAGAGTGAGCTAGAAAGTTACAAAGAAAATAATGTGCAACAGTCATTCCGGATAATGTCCCTGAAAGATGATATCAAGGACCTAGAGGAACTTATTGCTTCTCTAACCAGAATTAAGTCTTTGAAAAACACCAATATTCAGAATCTTGAAAGAGGCAACTGGGATCTAACTGAAAGAATTCTAGAACTAGAAAACCTTCTAAGGTAGGGAATTTTCTAGTTTGTTTTCAAACATGTCACTTTTCATAAGCTTGTAAATATATGCAAACTCCAAAATCACAGAACTTAAATCTAGTAGAATTTCACATACCTGACTCAAAATTACATTTTTAAAAAATAATTTTATTGATATACAATTTCCATTCCATTAAAATTCACCCTTCTACAGGATACATTCAGTAGTTTTTGGTATATTCACAAGATTGTGCAATAACACCACTCTCTAATTCCAGAATATTTTCATCATTACCTAAAGAAACCCCATGTCCATTAGCAGTTACTCCCCATTCCACCCTCTCTAGTCTCTGACAGCCACCAATCTACTTTCTCTCTGGACTTGCCTTTTCTGGACATTTCATATGAATGCAATCTTATAATACATGGCCTCTGTGTTTGACTTCTTTCATTTAGCACAATGTTTTCAAGACTAATCAATGTTTGTAGCATGAATTGGTACTTCACTACTTTTTATGGCTGAATAATATTCCATTATAAGGATATACCACATTTTGTTTATCCATCAGTTGATGGACATTGGGTTGTTACCTTTTGTAGGTGCTCTATGAATAATGCTGCTAACAATATTTTTGTATGAGCTTTTATATGACTGTATGTTTCGTCTCTTTTGGGTATATGCCTTAGGAGTAGAATTGCTGAATCATAAATAACTCTATGTTTAACCTTTTGAGCTTATTTTTGAGGAAGTTCCAGGCTGTTTTCCAAGGCAGTTGCACCATTTTACATTCCCACCAACAATGTATAGGGATTCCAATTTCTCCACATCCTCACCAACACTTGTCATTGTTCATTTTTTTTATTATAGCATTCTTGTGGATAGGAAGTTGTATTTCATGGTGATTTTAATTTGCATCTTCATAATGACTAAAGCTATTGAGCATTTTTTCATGGGATTATTGGCTATTTGTGTATCTTCTTTGTAGAAATATCTATTCAGATTCTTTGTCCATTTTCAGATTGAGTTATTTGTCTTTTTATTGTTGAGTTGTAAGTGTTCTTTACATATTCTGGGTACTAGACCCTTATCAGATATATGATAAAAGCACAACATTTTAAAATTTTAATGAAGTTTCTCTTTTTTTGTCATTTGTGTCTTTGGTGTTATATCTAGGAAACTATTGTCTAATCCACTATTATGAAGATTTACACATATGCTTTCTTTTAATAGTTATTGTTTTAGCAATTAACTTTATGTCTATGATCCATTTTGAATAATTTTTGTATATGGTGTGAGTTAAGGAATCCAAATGCATTCTTTTTCATTTGAAGATCTACTAATTGTCCCAACACCACTTCTTGAAGAGACTTATTTCTTGTGTTGAGTTGTCTTGATAATCTTACTAAAAAAGAGAGTTGACCATAAATGTATAGGTTTAATTGTGGACTCTCAATTCTATTCCATTGGTCTATATATCAATTCTTAGGCCAGTACCACACTGTTTTGATTACTGTAGCTTTGTAGTAAGTTTTGAAGTCTAAGTCTTTTTCAAGATTGTTTTGGCTACTCTGGGTCCTTTCCTTTTCTATATGAATTTTAAGATTGATTTGTCAACTTCTGTTAAAAAGGCAGCTAGGATTTGATAGGGATTGTATTGAATTTATAGGTCAGTTTGGGGGAGTACTGCCATCTTTTTTTTTGTCATCTTAATATTAAATCTTCCAATCCATGAATATGGGGCATCATTCCATTTATTTAGATCTTCAATTTCTTTCAACAGTATTTTGTAGTTTTTAGCATACATGTCATATTTCTTTTGTTAGATTTAATTCTAAGTATTTTATTCTTTTTATGCATTGGAAATAGAACTGTTTCCTTAATTTCTTTTTTGGATTGTTCATTTTCAAGGAATAGAAATATAATTGATTCTTGTATATTGATCTTGTGTCCTGCAACCTTACTGAACTTATTTATTAGCGCCTATAGTTTTGTATTTATGTGTGTGTATGTGGATTCCTTAGGATTTTCTCTATATAAGACCATGTTATTTGCAAAGAGATTTGATTTTCCATTCTAACTGGATGCTTTTAAGTATTGCAATTGGTAATCAAAATAAGAGCCAAATAATTAGCTGTTTGTATATTTGGTAATAAAACACGTTTTTGCATATGCTATTCTCTATTGCTGTATCATTATTTTTAATTCCTTTACCCCTCATGGAATCCCATTCAGGGATTCATTTGAGGAGCCCCTTCAGGTGTTACTAAAATAAGAGTACAGTTGTTCTTAATCCTTATCTTTCATCCCTTGTCCCTCAGTGTCCACAGGGATGGTCCCAGGACCCCTGAGGATACCAAAAATCTGTAGATGCTAAGTCCCTTTCATAAAATGGCATAGGATTTACATTTAACCTATGCACATCCTCCCATGTACTTTAAATCATCTCTAGATTACTTATAGTATGTATTATGATGTAAATGCTGTGTAAATAGTTGCTGATGTACAGCAAATTCAAGTTTTGCTTAAAAATTTTTTTAAAATATTTTCAATCCATGGTTGGTTGAGTCTGCGAATGTGGAACCCACAAATATGGAGGGCCCACTGTACTTGCACCCACATGGAACCTCCTGATCATCACAATATTACCATAGTGGCAGACAGGTATTCATATGCACATTTCCTCTGGAAAAGGATGGTTTCAGAATTGACCTCCCCCAGGACTTAATGCTGGATTGTTTTTCTCTCCATTTGTGTACCATTTCTCATCTCTCTCTAGAAATAATTGGTTAACTGCATAGCTCTTTTCATAAGAAATCCATTTTTATGTGATATGTATATTTAAATGTACTTTAAATGGAAGATATTTCTTTTTATTTTAATTATTGAAAATTGATTGACTTGGTCTTATGATATGGTTACCTGTCAGTATGTTACACAGGGTACATCTGGTTGAAAGAAAAAAGGCAGAGAGAAAACCAGACCATTTGGAGAAAAAGTTAGCAGGTGCTAACAGATTCACCCCTTGTATGAATATGGAAGGACAAGAAGATTCCTTCAGTAGTTTCAAAATGAAGGTGAGAATATACTTTGACTGATTTTTGAAGAAACCAGATTTTTATTACCTTGTCTTACTCTCGGAGATAATTGACAAATGTTGAGTGGCTCGTTGGTCCTCCTCTCTGGAGGATCAGAGGTAGTAGTACAGCATAGTAGATGGGAAGTCTTTCTGAGATGTGGAGAGAAAGGGCACGAAGGATCTGAAGGTCTCTATGTTACCAAAGAAAAGATTATAGGGAATGGAACTGTGAGAGATCTGGGAGAAGAGGTGGTGTTTGGAGAGTGAAATATTGGAGTTTTAAATTTCCAGTATTGGTTAGTACCTGCTGCTGACAAAAATCTGGGCTTTGGGGTCTGGGTATAAGGGTTGAAGGAGGGTGTAGGTGAAAGTCATTGAAACTGAAGCGCAGGAGTCACAGAACTAAATTGGTGGATCATCTACCCTGGACACTGATGTCTAGAATTATGGCATGTGTTGGGTTTAGAAAGAAGAGGTAAGGCTGGTCCGCAGTAGACAGCAATTCTCAGGATGAGTAGCAGTTTCATGGAAGAATGTTGGAGGAGGATGGGGGACAGACTGTCGTCAAGGAAGTGGTAAAAGTCTATTTTGAAATCCTTAGGCTGTCATTGTTTATTATACAATCTGAATGTAAAACAAGGTCCATCGTGATCCAATTAATGTGAGGGCTTCCACGTCAAAAAATTCAGCAACTACTTTCAGAGTAGTTTATAGTAATTTCAATTTTTAATCACCTCTTTCAAGTAATTCACAGTAGCACTTCCCATTGTTTTTTCACTTCTCTGACCTATCTGCCACATCTCTGAAAAACTCTCCCACATCAGAGTCCATGCAGATCTGCTTTTTTTTTTAACCACTGCTCTTTTATTCGCCGTTTTTTTCCTAGACTTTTAGTGATACAAACCCATCATTATTTCAACAACTCTAGGTCCCCTTCTATTTACCAGTTTCACATGACAAAAAACCCAGAAAATAAACATGTTTACTCAGCTTTCAGAGTTGAAGGTGGCAAGAGGGTGGAAAGAAGACTAGAATTTATAAAGACAGAATCTTCCTGGGAGCTGGGGTGGGGGAGAAGTACAAGCATTATCTTTTATTTTTCTCCTGTTTATAATGGAAGTAGGGTGCTTATAAGGGAAAGGTTGAGCGAAAGAAATGTGAAGTCTTTTATTTATGCTTTTACATTATCAAAGCTGTTACTATTAAATGATGTTTTAGAATCATAATTAAGTCTTTATGAAAATATCCATTTCCCTGCCAACTTTTCACTTAATTGTATTAGCATTCACTTATGATCCTTGCCTGAACCAGTTATTTTGTTAGGAGAAGCAAAATGCTGAGTTTTAAAATTCTATCATGCTTTCTATACTTATTAGCTCAAAATTTTCTGTAAAGAGTTCCCCCATAAACTGGAGTGGTTTGGTTAGCTGCTTCTCTAAGCTAAATTTCCTATGTTCTCAAAACAGTTTCTCCATAACATCACTTTAATATCTCTTGATGTTCTAGTTTACTTTTTTGAGTATGCCCTTGTCTTTCTCATGACTCTGTAACTCTTTCTGTTGAGAGCTTTTTCTCCTGAAGTTTTGTCTTATGTCTTATGTCTATATTTAATATTTCAAAAAAGGAAGTAGATGTCTCAATATTAAATTCCAAATGGGACATTTAACATGTGTGTTGACATATTTAGGATAAGGATGAAGGTATCCTAGCCAAGAACTTGGAGAGAGACATTTTTCACTCTGAAGGACCAAAACATGGGCAGAAAATTTGGGATAAATGTCAACAAGATTTGAACCATAAGGAAAAAAAAATATGCGAGTTAGACAAACCTCCATATTCATTCAGCTGGGAAACTAAAACTGCACGATCCCACTACCAGAAATTCCTCAGTCGGTTGTCTACTCTTCCCAGCAACAGTGTTGAACCCATACCAGCCATGGAGGAAGCTGTGAAAGAGAGCATTCAGGAAACTGGTGCTAATGGGCAATCTTGGAAGTCTGTAAGTATATATACTGATAGATGACTTACTCTTTCAAATTTGTTTAAGATGTGGATTTTGATATTAGCTGACTTCATAAACTCTGTGGCTCTGATTTTATTTTTATTACTGCAGTGATAAAAGGGAAAAGGATGTCCATTATCACAGTAGACCTAGTGCAGTGTGTCAAGAGCAGAGGCCTGGTTTGAATCCCAGCTCTGCCATTGTCAGCTGTGTGCTCTTGGGCAGATTACTTCCTCTCTGTGCTTTCATTTCATTTGTAAATTTTGGCAGGACCAGGGGTGGGGTAGGGGTTGGGGAAGCATAGTTCCTGTCCGTTTAATCTGTGCATAAAATTAATTGTAAAATCAGTCATTAGTTTGATTTTACTGGTCGAGTCTATCAAAAGATTGAACCAGCAAGTTTAAGTGGTATATCTCCTTGTTATGTCTAAATCATTTTGGTAAAAATTTCATGACTCTCCACCATAAAATTCAAATGAAGATAGGTATTGCTTAAATTCAATGTATTAGTAAAACCTGCTACTTAGTAGTCTTTATTGTACAGTTCCAAAGTTTTTACACTCTGCTCTCTTAAAATCCTTTATACAATTTTATTTCTCAGTACTCCCTAAAATGTCTTATTTTTGTATATCAAACCTGTTTCTTTTTTTTAAAAACCAGCTTATACATGTCAAGTCTTCTTAAAATTGTCCCCATTCATCCATTTAGTAACTTAATGTTACTACAATGTCAGTATAAGTAGAACTTGCACATTGTTTTGAGGTGAAATAGAAATCATGGACCATCAGGATGTCTTATCTGCTTTTTTTCACTGCAGAGAACTGAAGGCCTCCAGCAGGAAATTCAGATGCTCACTAAGCGACTGGAGAAGCTGTATCCTAAATGTGAAAAAACTGCTGGAGAATCATCCCAAACTGATGAAAAGTATAAAGAACAAATAAGACCCTTGAAACGTCTGGAAGGAAAAACTGCTATTAATGACCTTTTTCAAGAGAGATTAGACTTGGACATGAACAAAGTAAGAATTTTTCTGAAGTATAAGGTGTTTCTTTGACAATGAAAATGATCATTATATTATCTAACGTTTAAAGCTGTTAATGCTATTTGTACTTTTCTTAATATTAGGAAAGAGGAAAATTTGCTACAAACTTTTAAAGTTTCTGATTTTATCAAAAAGCCTCTCTTTACTCCGTATCTCCCATTTCTCTACTATACATGTTTGATATTTATTGTATGGGGATTTGTTAATGTTTTTCTTAATGTACTTTTTAAGAAGGATTCGAGGGAAAGGAACGCAAAGGAATGACTCTCTGAAGGTGGAATTTCAGGTGTACTGTGTCAGCTAGATATGATGGGTATTGGGAAGGGGCTGTTGATAAAACTCTTCAATAATCATCTTATAGATCATTAACTTCTCTATTTTCTGCTTCTCTGCATCTATAAGGAAAAAGTCAACCCTGAAAGTGGGGTGGGAATAGGTAGGATGCAGTATAATCCATTTTCAGGGCATTTTGATGCTATTTCTCTACCTCTTCACAGAGTTGCCTGTCATACCCATACCTATGTTATACTATTTCTATAACTACTATGCCCCAAAGCGTAAACTCATTCACTCTCTACTCACTCAGTTTCTCATTCCCATTCACTCATTCATCGATCCAACATGTTTTGGTCATTCACCTTTTAAAAACCTCCAGCCCTTGATGCAGTAGTATTGACAACGTACTCAACAGAGTCCAAAGATGAATCCAGCGACTACCTCTCCTCTTGAGTATGTAATTGATGATGAGTCATTTCCATTCAAATTTTAAAAATACTATATTGAATTTTAAGCATATACAAATAATACATGCTTTCCACAACCCTTGAATCCATGCTAAAAGTTTTGAAGAAAACAATCATAATCTTCTCCAACATTCTTTCTGCCTACTTCACCTCAGTAACCAGTGTGCCTATGTCTTCTACAACCATTGCCATGGTTATGGAAATATATGAGTACATACATGTAGGTGGTGTTTTTTTACAAAATTGGGACTGTACTAGTCAAAATACTCTTCTTACTTGGTAAGAAGCAAGTATGTTATGATCTTTCTTTAGGTCAAAAGATATAGCTTAAGTCATTCCTTTAAAAGCTGCATAGTATTCCACAGTGTGTATATATAACTTACATAATCGACAAATTCCTTATTAATATACTACTGGTCATTCTTATTTCCACTTTTTATGCCACTACAAATAATGATGCAATAAGTATGTTTATACGTATATGTTTCTACATTGGTGCTTTCTCCCTCTATGGAGTTGGGTTCTAAATGTGGGAATACAGGACTACAATGTGTGAGTATTTTAAAGTTTAATATAAACTGTAAATTAGTAGTGTTTTAGAACTATTTTCATCTTTTCTACATCTATGCATTCTGTATGTTTCTCCTTCCTAATTATACGTGTTTTCACTTCCTCTCTTTCCTCTTTAACCAGGTTTGCCTGGGGCATCTGTTTTATCTTTCCAAAGAACCAATGGTTCTTTTAATAAATACATTTTACCAGTTTATTTTTGATGTATAAATAATGAAATATATGGTATCTTTATTTAAATCTACATTCCTAATTTATCTTTTTCCTTATGTAAATATGCTTGTTTTGGGTTCTTTGTTTTAAATCATAAAAGCAGCAAGGGCTATACATACTCCTTTGTAGCTTGCCCAATACATTTTATTATTATTTATTATTTTATTGTTTGTTTTTTTGACGAGTAATTAGGTTTATTTATCTATTTTTTAAATGAAGGTACTGGGAATTGAACCTGGGACTTCATGCATGCTAGGCATGTATTCTACCACTGAGCTATATCCCTCCCAACACATTTTAATATGAAGTGTTCTTTTACCATGTTTTATATATGTGTATAATTTTGCTGTTGATTTCTATTTCTTCTTTGATCTAAAGTTATGTAGATTTTTTATTGTTTACACTTATGCATATATATTATGGACATGTACATTAAAAAAATCAAATATACCAAAAGTCTCCCATTGAAAAGTAGTAGCCCCATTCTCTATCTCCACCTGTCCTCTTTCCCAGAGGGAACTAACTTTAACCCTTGTAGCTATTACTTCTATTAGTAAATTCTATTTTCCTAAATAATTTGCTTATACTGCTATATCTTTAGTTATTTATTTTAGACATTATCTGTTGACATACTATTATATGATAGATGAAGATTTCTCTCTCTTATACCACTTTCCCACCTCCTCCTTCCATCTTCCCAATATGGTTATATCAATATTTTTAGCTAAATCCATAATCAGCATTTACTTCGCTATGATGCTAATGTTTACAAAATGCCAAATACTATACTCTTGACGCCTTTCTTTTCTTGTAGTACATGTTATTATTCCTAGAGTTAATATTTTTCTTGTGTTTTCATATATATAATTTTCAACATTCATTTATTAGTTTCCCCCCAGATACAACATCAGATGATTCTTTCCCATCCAAAGTCCTTAATTCTCTTGCTTCAGTCTGGACTGTGCTCAGTGGGCTTGGGCACAGCTATGATCCTGTGACTTTTCTTCTCCAGTCTCCTAATTAGGTTGTACTATTTCCTGAAACTCTTATATTCCTCTCTTTGGGTTTACTTTCTTATTTTGCTGGGGTGCATCCTCTAATAGATTTCTAAGAAGTGGTATATTGCAGAGTGAAATTTTTTTGAATCTTTGCATGAATAGCAAAGTCTTTTGTTTTTAACCTTCACACTCAGTTGGATTTAGACTTTATTTTCACAGAGAGATTTGAACGCATTATTCCATTGTCTTCTAATTTCCAATGTGTTATTGAAAAAATGGTGCCATTCTGATTTTTGTTCTTTAATATGTTACCTGTTTTATTTCTTTTAATGGATTAAAACATTTGTGATGACATTTTAAATAACTTCTTTCTCATAATAAAATTAACTTACGTACATTAGTTCTATGTGTTTCTCCTTCCTAATATTGCATATTTTCATATTTTCTTCCTTCTTTAACCAGACTTGCCTGGAGTATCTTTTCTTTTTGGAAAGAACTAGTGGTTCTTTTTAATACATTTTATTAGTTTTAAGGTTATATACAATGAAAATATATGGTATCTTTATTAAATATGCACCTATTCTTTCTCTCTCTCTCTTTTTTTCTGGTAGTAACTTTTTAAAGTACAGAATAGTAGAAAGAGTACAATTAAAATAACCAGTAATTCTGCCACTTTGAGATAACCAGTGTTAACATAGAGGTATGTTTTCTTCTGATTATTTTCCATGAATATTTTAACATTATTAAGATAGGCATAACTTTTTTTATCCTGCTTCTTTCATTCAACTATATCATTAGTACTTTCTCTTAGTAAATTTTTGGAAAACCTGATTTCTAAGAAATGTATTATCAATCATATGTAATTTTTGACATTCACTTTGTTTTTTTCATGTAATGAATAATGTTGTAAAGAATATCTTTGTGCTTGAATCTTTATCTAAATATTTGATTATTTCCTTATACATTCTTAGAAAAGTTGAACTAATTTATGCTATCACCTGGTGTTTATAACATTGTCTACTTAACTGTATCCTTGTTAGCATTAAGCCATCACTTTTATTGTCATATTTTATTTTCTGGATTATTTTAATAATGCATATTTATAGTAAAAATATTTTACAAATACCTAAGAATTAAGACTGCAGTTTATTAGTCTAGAGTAGATCTAGTGTGGTAGTGTGAAGTACCACTGTAAAGCATAACTTGTTTGATACTGTTGACTTCTACGAAGGAAAACTCCAGGATTAAGACCTCCCAGGTGGATGAGCATGAGAAGACATTCAAGCAGCCTGAGAAAGACAATAAGCAAGAAACATTATGGACTATTCAGAAGAATTTGCAGATTGTTACAACTCAAAGATTAGAGGAGAAAGTTCAGAAACTTCAGAAACAGCTCAGTGATTTGAAATTGTCAAATGAAAATATGAAAACTCAACTGACAAGAGTAAATGTGCTTAAAGTAAGTAAAGGAAGTGAGGCTTTCAAAAATTCATTTATGCTTGGGTCAGTTAGTATTTTTGCTGCATGTTTCTCACTGAAATTAAATTAACATGAAAATTATTTTACATACATATGAAATATATATATAATAGTAAAGCATATAGAATAATAAAATTAGATGCCTGCAAATCTACCACTCATCTTAAAAATCAGAGTATTATCAGTCCCAGTGAAGCCCCGTGGTATCCTCCTCAAATGTTGCTGGTATTCTAAATGTTAGGCATCTAGATCCCTTGCTTTTTGGTTTAATCTTACTTGTGTTTTTGGGTTAATAGTTAAAAGTTTTAGTCATTTTGGGGGGATCCTCTTTGGATCTTCTCTATATCAAGGTTCAGTTGTAGGATTTCAAGCATACATTTTATGCTTTAAACAGAAGATGCACTAGATACTTATTGATCAAAATTTTTTTTGCCAGTTTATCAAGAATTTTTCTCACTGCAGCCAGTTATTTTCTCTTTCTGTGTTTGATTAGCTCAAACTGGAAGACTTTTGAGGACATGGAACACATGTTAAACCTCTTTAAATCCCAAGTGCCTAGTTTATAAAAGTGCTCAGTGACTTGGTTATGGATGAGTTTGATGGTGGAGAAATGTCCTCTTAATTCATAAATTGTGGAATGTTTTTTCTTTTCCATTATCTAGCTCTTAAAAAAAAAAGGAGGAAAAGAAGCATGAGTTATCATGCATCATGCCTATCTGTTATTTAGAGGAGATCTAATCACAGTCATCTCCCTTTCCCCAACCCTTACCCTCACAGGACAAAACAATTGAGAAGCTTAGGCAATCTTTAATAGAAGCTGAAGCAATGAAAGGGAAGGCAGTTATGGAAACAGACTTGAAAACTGCACTAGACTCTGCTAAGCAAGAGGCAAGATGGAACAAAGAGAGGGCCCATCCGATGTTAGAAACCGTCACTCCTGAGCTCTGCACAACAAAGGGCACAGAAGAAGTACCGGGACAACAAGAGAAGGTTTTTTTAAAAAATTACTATATTAAGATTCTTTAAGTTGAAGTGATAAACACCCACCTCAATTTATACTCTACCTAACTTAGACAAAAGGGAATTGATTGGCTTGTGGAATCAAAGGGAGTTAAACAACCAGAGCTCTGAGAGGGCAGACGTGCGCCTGGGCCCCGGATCAGCACCTGGAACCTCCAATATAAGGCCTTTCTCACCATTTCTTCTTGGCATCTCTCTGTTAACTTGTCTGACTGACAGCCACAGAGTTTTGTAGTTAGAGTTTCTGTAGCAGGAGGGAGTATCCCAGGAAAGGGTCTTACAAGCCCAGCCTAGGTTAAATGCCTATCCTTGGTGAATTCACGGCGGGAAGGAATGGGATATATGATCATCTTAGCTTAGGTTTGTGAACACATCCTCTAACTAGCCAGAGAGGGTAGGGATGAGAAAGAATGGAAGCTCAGGGGAAACCATATGTTTGGGCTAGGTCACTTTCTAGGGCAAGCATGTAGTGCTTCTAAATTTGGGTACATTTTCACTAGATTTATAAAGAAGATATTTTAAGAGAATTTTTAAAAGCCTAAATGATACTTTTGGGTTATTGTGGGATTGCATGTCACACCTTCATATATTAGTTGCTTAAGGAATATGAAATTTCAACCAATTCCCTTAAGAGATTCTTAAAACATAAAATCATGATATTATAATTTAACTTTTTCCCACTTTTAAACTTCTGCATATTCATTTTCTTGATTTTTTTTTATTCTTCTCCTCAGTGTCCCTTGTATTTTCATCCCCATCTCTTCTCCTTTGGGCACTCTGTAGTTTACTCTTCATTTCTGAGACGATTTTGGCTTTTCTCACCTGCATTCAATCATCACATTTTCCTTACCCATTAGGCATCTTAGACATCTTTTTTGTCCATTTCTATTCTGAATTATTGCATATCGGATGCAAAAGAAAGGTGTTTTTCCTCCATGTCTGCAAATCCTTGTTTAATTACTATTTAATTCATATCAGGTGTGTCAAACAGATTTCCTTTGCTTCATGGCTGTTTTTTGGAGGGAGTATTTTCACCACTTGAACAGTTTGGATGATACTGCCTTTCTGTTTCCTTATAGTAATTCTGTATGGATATTTGCTATTTATCTATTCATTTAAAAATCCCTTTATTTGCCCTGCCCTCTTAATTTCAGGCATTTCTACTTTAGGGTAGTCAGGGGGCAGGGTTTACTTACTAGGTTTCTTAGCTCAATACCACCCTCTTCTGTTGACACAGTGAGTGCAGTTTCTAAAGTTAAGAAAGTAAAGCTTTTAATTTTGAGAAGGGGTTTATGCGATACCTGATTCTGCAATACTCTAGTTTATATAAGTCCCTTAATTTCCAGTGCTTGCTTTTTTCTTTTCCTTTATCACTGAGCCTCCAAGGAACACCTCACCCTTTCAAGCAGCAACTTCTCCCTTCAGAAACCCTTGCCCTCTAGAACTGCCATTTCTGGTCTCACATGCTTCTAAGCCCCTTTCCTTTCCTTCACCACTTGCAAGTATTCTGTTCTACCAGGTCTCATACTTGTTCTTAGTATTTCCCCATTTATGAACTGTCCCGTTTCTGGGACACCAGAGGAAACCAGCTGCATCCTCAAGGGTGGGCTCTGGAGCTGCCTCTGTTGGTTTAGGATATTTATTTCCCCACTGAAATGCAACCTGAAAGTCTTTGGCATTCCCTGTTTAGGCTTTAGGCATGATTGATTTATAGGTGGTTTTATCTGCTCTCCTTGTTGGTCACTATAGTTTTTGGAGGATGGGCAAAGAGATATGTATTTAGGGATCTGCTATTACCTACAGCAAATCAGAAATCCAAAAAGTAATTACCTCATGGATGAGTAACAAGCAGCAATTAATTAGATTTAGTCTATAAGCCTTTAAAAAATAAAAACAGATCTTAAAATGCAAACGTTAACTTTAGAGTTCTTGTAATAAAAGTTTTTAAGCTTAAAAATACTTATTTGAATGTAGGATATGTTGCATTTCATAAAGAAATGTTTAATAAAACTAAATTTTTAATACCAGTTTCATTGTACACAGTAAGTAGGTGACCAAAACTAATGACATGTGTTGATTATTGTGGTGGTTCTTTGTAGCTTGCTGACTTTCGAGAAACTATTATGAAGATGTTGGGATTTAACGTGAAAACAGCAGACAAGAAAATCATCAATCACCTAAGGCTTATTATACAAGTATATGAAGCATCTAACAAACCAAAGATTGCTTCTGAGTGTCAGACTGGGCAGGATAATGAATAAAGAAGTTCTGTTAACAAGAACTCAGCAGATATGGACCTTTCCTCCAGCATCTTGAATATGGTTACATTATGAATAAAATGCATTGGAAACTTTTCACATGAATCTGTTCTCTCCTTTGATATTTGCCAATTCACTTTTCTTTGTTGTAATCTTGTTCTATACATTTACTTATGGTCTAGTCTGGATTGTTAGTTGTAATATATAGTATTATCTAATTATATTTATTAACTGTATTTTAAATAGGATATTAATCAGCATTTGTTCTTAGTTGGAATATTCGTATCTATAGTTAACGGCCTGTTTCTAGAATGAACAGTTTTTGGGGTATACCCTCTTAAAAATCCAAGTAAAGTTATAGTCCATAATTTGAATCTAATCTATTTGTTTAACTGAGAGTTTGAAAATCAGATATGAAGTGCTGAAGGGTAGGAAAGTCATTAAGAATTCTTAAAAATTGGAGGGGAGGGTATAACTCAGTGGTAGAGTGCATGCTTAGCATGCATGAGGTCCTGGGTTCAACCTCCAGTACCTCCATTTAAAAAAAATTCTTAAAAATGTACAATAGACTGTATTGTGTTTTTTATTTTCTTAGTATTTAATAGTGTCTGCCAGTGTTTTCCTAGTTATAGACCAATATTTAAGCTAATAGGCGACTTTTTAAATAGTATAATTTCTAATTTATTATAATTCTAATTCTAAAAATAGGAAACTGCTCATCTTCCAAACTACTTTTAGATTTATCCAAGATGTCTTCTGTAGGAACAGGTCAGAATCTGGACAGGTGGACACTCAATGCCTACTACAGTCATTCAAAAGGATCTCCTGTGGGGCTTACTTTTGGAGGGATCTTCAGGGTACAAGGAGTCAGGTTTCACTGGACCTTACAGAAATAACAGTTTGGAAGAAAATGATTATCGTGAATACTCATTCAAGTTAAAAAAATGAGAACCACTTCTAAATGGTCACACCCATGGTTTTCAAATATGTGCCAACTCACTCTGGAGCACGGCAGGGATCTCAGCATGCCACATCAAGTATTTCCGATTATAAAGGTCTTTTTCAAACTTTTATTTCTCTGGTTCTCCTCCTTCTGCCACCCTCCTCCTCTTTTAAGGGCTCTGTGATTACATTAGGCCCACCTGGACGATGCTGAATAATCTCCCTATTTAAGGTTAGCTGATTAGCAACCTTAATTCTCTTTTGCCAGGTAGCCTAATATACTCACAGATTCCCGGGATCAGAACAAGTACGATTTTAGGGAGCTATTATTCTACCTGCCACAGTCCACAACTAAAATTGAACACACGCCTGCTTTATAAACCAGCAACTCCATTCCTACATATATATCTAACAGAAATGGGTATATATTCCACAAAAAGACATTTACAAAGTTAGTCACGGCAGCATTGTTTTTAATTGTCCCAAACTGGAACCCACCCAAACGACCAAGAGTAAACAGGACAACCAGATCCACTAGCTACGCGTTCAGATTTCCTTTTAGGTGTGCGAGAGGGAGAGGTCAACTGGAATGCTGAATTGTCTCAGAAGCCAAACCAGAAAGTGGCTTTAGGTCCAAGGCTAGGGAGATAGCATATAGAGGAGAGCATGAGTTTGAGGAGAAACGGTCAATTTCTGGAGCTCCACTTCGCATGTGTTAAGGCTCAACCTTGGTGGAAAAAGCAGTGGCCTGCAAGGAGACTTTAGTTATTGAACATCTATAACTAATCAGCCTCATAACCCTTGGTTACATCCTCGGTTGAACCTGAATTTTCTTCATCTCGAAAGTAGATGAAATGTGATCTGGATTTCTAACTTCCAACTCTAGATTCCAGGCAGCTGCAACTACCCTGGCAGAAACATTTTCAGGTCAGATTAGTGGAGCTTGTTGCCACATAAATACAGGAGACAGCAGCACAACCACTAGGCACTTTATGCCGAGGGCCCTTTTCCTTAGCCGCAAGATGCCTGTCTACGGGTCTGACAGGCTGACCTCAAGCCCTTCTTCTGAGTCTAGGCGACTGCGGATTTCCCCTAGAAGTGTCCCCTTCCGCAAAAGAAGAGCCATTATGACTTGCACTCCTTACTCTTCGCCTGCGGTCCAACACATCTTAGCAACTGCTTAGGCAGAGTCCATCTTCCTGTGCAGCACTCCTACTCAAAAGTCCACTGTGGACGTAGCCAAACTGGGGATGCAACACCTCCTGCCACGCCGAAACCCTCGTTCCACTCGCTTACGTCCGTTCGCGAGCCCGCGCTACTGCGCATGCGCCCCGCTGAACTTGGCTGCGCGTGCGCAGCCCTACGGGGAGCGGACGCGCGAGGATCTCGGCTGTGGGGAACTTACGCTGCGGTTCCGCTGCAGGCGGAAAACGGCAAAAAGACGCGAGGGAAATAGTGCTGATTAGCTGACGGAAGTGATTGGCTGGTGGAAGGAGCCGTGCCACATCGCGCCTTAGTGGGGGCGGGAACCAGCTGAAGAGCGGTTCGGGTGTCGACTCCAGCTGTTTCGTGGCGGGGCAAAGGGCGGAACCGAGCGGGCGGTCTCGGGGGAGAATAGTTTCCGGGGCGCGGGAGGCCGGCGCGGGCTGAAGGCGCGGGTCCTGTGCTGGAGAGTCTTGGCCTCGCTCCCGCGCGCGGAGCCTGGTGGGGCGCCGGGCTGTCCCCAGGAGTTACACCTGCCGGATGTGCGGCGGTTCTGGGCGTTCTAGTCCCCTTCCGGGCTCCGTCAGACTTGTGTGGGGCTCCCACCCCGATACCGAATCGGAAGGTCTGAGAGGCCCCCCTGTTTTTAAATCCCTTGGGGTGAATCTGATGCTCGGCCAAGTCGAAGCCCAGCGCACTGTTTCAGGTTCCCCCGCCCCACCCCAACCTCAGGGCCGTGTGGCTTCTTCAGGCTGAGCGGGTAGCCCCTTGGTTGACCAGTGTGCGTTAGGGTCCTCAGCCTTGCAGGTTGGCTATGGAAGGCCTGTTTGTGTGCCTGCTGCACAGTGAGGCCAAATAAACCCAAAAGTCGGAGTTTGGAGCAGAGAAAGGTTTATTGAAGGGCCAAGCAAGAAGACCGGTGGCCTGTGCTCTAAAACCCCTAACTCTTGATGGTTTTCAGGGAGAAGTTTTTAGAGGTAACATTTGGGGTGAGGGCTGCAGGGTGTGTGAATTTTTTCTGATTGGTTGGTGGTAAGGCATGGTGCTCGGACTCGGGCTTAGCCTGAAGTTGCCATCCTCCACCTGGGTGGGGGACCTTCATTCCTACAGAAGAACTCAAAGATGTTATATATATCCCTTGAGGAGAAACGAGGATCTTGCTTTTATGGCTACATTATAGTTTCTTGATTGTTCCTCCTTTGTTTCTTCCTTTCCTTATTTCCCTGTCTAGTAACTATTTGAATCTGTTCTTTGATATTAAGGAATGTCTAGGAGCCTGTAGCTTTTTTCCTGCAAATAAGAAATGGGGGGCACAGAAAGGATTTTGTGCCCAGGAGGGCCCCACAGGGTCCTGCTTGATTTCTAGTCTAGATTTTGTCAGATCCCCCATGCAGGTCTGGAGTTAGATACCAAGTGACCAACAAGGGTGGACATTCCTCCCCATAGGTGTCCACTCTGGAGAAGTGAGATTGGATGTTTGGAGGATTGAGGAACAGTCCTCTGGTCCTGCAAGTTGAATCCATTGAGTGCTGTCTCTGCTCAGGGAACTTGACTGGTTCTTTTGGCGCTCAGATGACAAACCGTTACCCTGATACAGTTCTATAATTTTCCTGTTACTCAGGTCACTTTGGGCTTGACCAAATGGTTTCTTTTACAAACCATCTCTTCGGATAGTGTAATCAATGGTGGAGCTCATCTATTGAATTTGATTCATTTTTTTGTTTTGGGGTTTTGGTAGATGGCTTTTCCTTATTCTTAAATTCTGATGACATCTTACAGGAGCCGCATATATGGAATTAGAGAATCTCTGTTTCTTATTAACAGTTTTATTGAGCTGAAATTTACATACCATAAAATTAACCTGTTTTAAGTGTACGATTCAGTGATTTTTAACATATATACAGAATTTTGCAACCATCACTGTAACGAAATTAGAGAATCTTTGGCGATTTTTTTTTCCTGCTGATTGCCTTTACTATTCTCAAAAGTTTGCCTAAGTGGATGTTTTGGAAATACAACGTAAGAACCTCTGAAAATGTACATTCAAGTTGTGTTATACCTGAGCAGGTGAAATTAAGAGGAGAATTGAAGCAAATGTTCCTAGAAGTTGCAGGTAGTGAAACTTTTGTGTATTGTAATTTCAAGTAGATAGTAACCATTCCAAGTGTCTTGTTTTGTGAAGAATATGGCACAAACCCCATTTTACAGATGACAACATTGACTTTGAAGGATAAGTTGCCTGAAGTTACATGTTTGTGCTTAGGCTAGGCTCCAACCCTGGATGCTTTATCTCTAAATGTGTTGCCTTTGCCACCTCATGAGCCTAGTTTCCAATTATATTATCTATGTATGACCTGTACAATTCATTCATTTACTGATCAAATAATTATAAAGTGACCACTATGCCACCAAAACCAAAAACACTGCTCTAAGTTCTAGAGATACCATAGTAAATCAGCTAAATTCCTGCCCTCAGCTTATATTCGATGAGGAGACAGTGATCAATTGAAGAAATATATACTCTAATTTTAGATATTGAGACAGGCTTTCTTTAAAAAAAATAGGCAAACTAAGAGTATAGGAAATGATGGTGAGAGACGGGATCTGGCTGTCTTTTTGAGCAGAAATCTGAAAGAAGAGAGGAAGCTGGGGCATAAGAAAAAGAAAACAAAGATTTAGTTTGAGCAGCTGGAAAGATAAAGTCGCCATTTACTGAGTTGAAATATATTGGATAACACTGTGGAAGGACCAGGCTTTTGGGTTAAAATCATGAATTCAGCTTTAGATGTTTTTAGATGCCACTTAGTCATCCAAGTGGAGAGAAGGGGTTTAAATCCATGAGGTTGGATGTGATCTGACCAAGGGATGGGTGGAGGTAGAGAGAGGACCAAGGACTGATCCTTAGACACTTCAGTGTTTAGAATTCAAGGAGATGAGGAGGAACCAGGAAGGAAGATTGA